TAGGAGTGTCGGGTACTGGAGGCCGAGCAGAAGAAGACAAAAAGTTGGCATTTTTAGAGGCCCAGTAGCGGTAGGATAGAGGTAGGCCGGTACCAGTCCAAGTAGCCTGAGTCTAGGGCCTGTCCGGACGACAGCAGAGCCTGCAATGATGTTTCCCTCCGAAAGGGAAGAGGTACCGGTTGCTGGGAGGCCGCTCGGCCTAGGAAGTCACCACCCAAGAGGCCAGTAGGCCACTATATCTTCCGGAGGCGCAAGTAGCTCCTCCTCATTTGCGGTATGCAAGGATTGGCGACATGCTGCTGAGCCAAGCGCTGGACTTGTACAGCGCTGCCTGGAGGTGAAGGGCAGCTGGGCGCTCAGCCTGGCTATGGCGAGCAGCCCAGCCTGAGGAGGAGGAAGAAGGGGGCGAAGGACGAGAGTGGCGAGGTACCTCCCTGGCTATGGTGGACACCATCTTCATCACCTTGTTGGGCGCTGCATCTGGAAGGCCCCAGTTGGGGTAGTGCCGCACCAAGGAAGCTCGAGGCAGAGTCAGGCATGGAGGCTTAGTCAGCAGCGGCATAGCTGCTTTGGGTTGTCCTTTGGACAGGAGTGCAGCGCCATAGCTGCTTTGTGTTACATGCTGCGCCTGCAACAGGCTGCACGGGCCATTTTCAGGCCCGTGTCGTTTTCAGCCTGAAAGCCTGAAAATGAGGGCCTACAGACCCCGTGTTGTTTTCAGGCCAAAAGCCTGAAAACAAGGGCCTACAGGCCCCGTGTCGTTTCAGCCTGAAAGCCTGAAAACGAGGGCCTACAGGCCCTGTGTTGTTTCAGGCTGAATCAGGGCCTTTCTGGCCCTGAGTATTTTCAGCCTGAAACTGAGGGCCATTTTCAGGCCCTCATCAGATCGACCTGCCCTGAAACTCAGGCACCAGACCAGGGTTTTAGCTCAGGTCATTTTTGGCCTATTTTCAAGACAACCTTTGTTTGAGCTTCAACCCCAGGGTCTGGCACGTGTTGGCATTGGCAAGAGCAGCCTCCTGGACGGGCCAGCACTATATAAGACTGGCCCGCCCTGCAGGCTGCAGGTAGTGGGGAGGCCACTCAGAGGTACTTCCCAGGCACTTCACGTGGAGGCAGGAGGCAGTCAGTAGTCTTCAGGATTCGGCAGCAGCACTCTGGAGGAGCGCTGCAGGAGTAGTAGTAACGTTAGCATTAGTCTTCAGCGCTGGGCGCTAGTAGCATTAGCGGTAGTCTTCAGCGCTGGGCGCCATAGCAGCTAGAGTAGTACTAGAGAGAGAGATTGGGCGGAGGCCAGGAGGACTTACCTGCAGCGCCGTTGCTCCAGCTTCGTCTTCGAGGTACCTGCAGCACAGCGCCAACTTCACAGGTACTACCTGGCTCGTGAGAGAGAGAGTTCTTCTTCTTCCTCTTCTCAGTCCACCATCTCCTTCTCACCCTCTCGCTATCTGACTTCACTGCGTCAGCAGACTACGAGAGAGAGAGAGAGACGGAGAGCTTGGTGACATTGGATCCAGACTCGACATGGCACTTCAGACATTTTGAAGAGGGATTATTTGGGACTTGTAACGAGACTTGGTGTTGACGACTTTCCCATCTCCCCCTTCCTCCTCTTCGTCTGATCCCCTCCTCTTCGTCTGTGTATGTCTGGACCTGGCGCCTCTTTCCAGTGTATAGCGCCAGGCTCCTTCACACCTTGTGATGGACATGATGTATGTTTGGTCCGTGTCGCAACATTGATTGGGCTAGTCAGTGGTATTCTAGCATTCTGTTGTACTCTCTTGTATTACGGGATAGAGGTCAGTCTCGGTCAGGTCAGGACTTGTATCCAAAGTCTTCCCTGCGCTATAAAGCACCATTTTGTATGTATCGGAATGCACATTGCTTGTTGAGATTCTACTTGCACTGCATTGTCCATTCAGTCCTTTTTATCACATTGCGGATCCTCGGCTTTCTATGTACATCGCCCAACTGGGCATGTAACATTTGTGTTGTCCTTTGCACAGAGAGTGGCAGAGCCCTCAGTTGTCCGCCATAGCCTAGGCTTGTGAGAGGTGGAAGAAGGGGGGAAGCCATAGCTATGGTGGACCTTCTGTTGTTGTTGTTGTGTCAGCAGTAAGAGGGAACTTCGGATATTGATTCTGGTTCATCCACTCCTTGTTATTATTATTATTGGGAAGAAGAATAAGATTGGAGAAGTTAAGGAGGAGGAGGAAGGTGGAGAGAGAAGGGGGATTTGTCATTGGTCTCGCTAGTGTACATCTTCTTCTTCTTCTTCTTCTTCTTCTTCTTCTTCTTCTTCTTTCCCTCTTCTCTGGTCTCTATCTCTTTGCAAGTGCTTTCATTTCTTTCGCAATTGGGTGGCATTGTCTTTCATTGTGAATTTGCACTTTGGGAATGGCCAGGATCGTAACAATTGGTATCGGAGCGGACTTACTTGCTGGCGAGAGGTGTTAATTCCGAATTAGGTTAGGGCTAACGTAATCTCGGATTAGGGTTGGGAAGTTAAGGGGCAGTGAGGTATGTGGATGCTGCCCCCACCTGGTTAGGTCATGTAGGATCGACATTAAACCTGACCAGGTTGCTTGTGTGATTGGATGGGGTGGCGAGACACAAATGAGGCTGATTGGAGTAAGCGAGAGGGAGTAGAGAGTGAGAGGTACTCACACCTGGAATCTGCACTTCAAGAAGACATTGAGTGACTTATGGGCTTCCCCTCAAGAGGGAGACTTGATCGGAGGCTGCCATATCTGCACCGAAGAGCTGCGAGTTGCTACTTTGGTCTTCAGACATCGACGGGGGATCCGGCGTTGTAACAGGCGTGCAGGGAGGCCCTCTTAGTCATGCTAGGACACTTCGTGTAGTGGTAGCTAGGGGTCAGGAGGACCTATGAGAGAGGGGGGTGAGTCGTTATCCATCTTTCGAGGCTGGGCCTCACAGGTAAGTGCCGTGTGACCTGGTTATGCCCGTGGGAGGTTGCTTGGTGCTTCATGGCCTGTTGGGGTGTGCTGGGCTCTCTTCCTCTTCTCTGCTGTAACGAGCGTGAGGCTGAGGGTGAGCCGAGGGAGAGGAGAGAGAGAGGGAGAGAGTGAGAGCACACACACACACTCACTCACTCGACACGACGGACTCAGACTGATGGTCGGATGCAGACACAGTGGCAAGGCACAAAGTCGAAGTCTTCGATTCCGAATGTCGGAACGGCAAGTCACACTGAGTACGAGTATAGCAGCAGAGAACTGGTACGAGACTGGTCCCCGTACCGTACGGGGAGCCGGTATAAGTACCGGTGACACGTACGGTACCAGGGGCATTTCTGCAAA